GAGAATTCTTCCTTTAAGTCTTGGGTGAGATATTTTTAAGGTTTATATATCTATATTGTTAGAACAAGCACATTCTGGCAATGTTGTTCTTTAACAAAAGCATGGTTTGCATTTAGATAGTGTTTTTTCAAAAAATCTGAAGAAATTATCAAGAGCACTTGGCAGAGATAACTTGATGAAATTAAGGGAAAAAAATTGATGTCCAACTTTTAAATACACAAAAAATTCTGGTTGACGTTCTACATAATTCCAATTGTGTGTAAGATGTTCTCAATAAACATTTATAGACTGTATCCCCACACCAATGTCGGAAATTCTAAGCCCATCCTATTACTGATGTGATGCATCAACATCACATTGTCAGCTATCAAAAACCATTTTAAATCTATATTTTTCCAACTTCAGTTCCATCAATGAAAATAATTTCAAAGGATATCAAGCTTGGAAACCATAAAATATTTTGCAAGCTTTTTTTTTGTTTTTTTTCTTCTGTTTTTTTTTTTTTTTTTTTTTTAAATTCTGTTTTGTCTTTGAATCTAGGGAATGTCTCTGTCATCTCTTTCAGGAGATAGTATTGTGCTTCTGAACAGTCATGGTGTTCAGGGAAAGAAAATGAGCCACACTCAATGTGAATGCATACATGAAAGGTTTCGGAGCACATACGTTAACATATCTTTTTAACCATACGTATAGGTCTCCAGACAACACTCAGACATCTATATACATTTTTTAATATATACACACATACATTTACATACACATACATTCAAGCATTCACTCACAGATGAAGGAAAAAATTGCCACTGTTTGGATTGCAAGGCAGTGTAATGAAACGTTGTAGTCACTTTAGAGGGCTGCTAATGAGCTTTCTAAAAAAGTATTCATGGAAAATTAGAAATTAAGTTTTGTGACTGGTCTCTCTCTGCTGCTGTCGGTCATCTGGTTGGTAATGCGTTTGCGATTCCGTTTCAGTTTAGAAAGGTCTTTGTCAAACACTTCTCCTGAGCGTAAAGCTGAAACAAGGTCATCAAACTCTCCGCTTTCTTCACTATTCTCTTTAGCTTTTCTCATTTTACGTTCCCTTTCACGTTGTTCTTTGAGCTGCAAATAGAAAGAAAACTTCTTAGAGAGAGGTCAAAATGTTGCATTTTGTTTTCAGTAGAGATGAATTCCGTGAAATACGGTAATGCTCCAGACACCAAGCTGTGCTCATCCTATAACCCCTTTGGATGTCACAAGAAAGGGGTAATTGGAACCTGGGTCTCCACTGTGGAAGCAACAACCACCACCACAAAATAACCACTGCCTTGTGGTTAGAGACCTTCACCGCCTAGATTCCAGGTAAACTGCATGATATTCTAGTTAAAATGACAGCAACTGAGGCAATTTGTGTTTTTGCTAATGGGAAAAAAAAGTATCACTATTACACAGACCCCAAATGACTAAAGCAAATGGTCATCAGGTCATTTTCCTTACATCACAGGCTTAGCTTGTGTCTTCTGTGGGAGCCTGAAACCTCATACACAACAGTTACTGTTATTAAAAGCCAACTAATACATACACACTGTAGACAATTTGGATAATTCAGATAAAAGGTGGGGGAAACATCTTTAATTCTACTGTAAACTTTTTAGAGGTTTCTCACACCACTATTATTTTCTATATGTATTAACACATCTTAAAAAACAAAACAAAGATTTCATGTAGAAATCACTTTGTAAACTTTTATATATCATTACATATTCTTTGAATACATGTCTTTTTAAGGATTGTATAAATATTCCATTATGTAGCTGTTATATAATTTAAAACTCACACCCTATTGGTAAACATTTAGGTTGTCTTTCGCTTGGGGCTATTATAAAGAATGCTGCCTCTTTTTCTTGTGCAAATTTGTGATTATTTCTTTAAAATAATTTCTAAGAAATGGAATTCCAGAGCAAAGGATGTGGATAGATTTTTTTTTTTTTTAAGGCTTTGAATATACACTGTTAAATTGTTGTCCAAGAGAAAGAACACCAATTTAAAGTCCCACAGAATTCTAGAGACTACATTGAAGGTTTCCTTCTTGCCAGCAGGTCAGAGTGCTCTCTAAATACCTTTGAAGCTGGGCTGCACCCATAGAACTTCTAGGAGGTAGAACTGGTGAATTAATCATCCTCTCACCTGAGCTTCCATGCGAGCTCGACGCTCTTCTTCCTCCTTCCTCTTTCTCATATTTTCGTTTTCTTGTTTGGATTCTGACACAGCTTGAAGAAATTGATCAAATATGCCAAAGAACTCATCTGGTTGTATTTTGCCAGCCTCTTCTCCAAAGTGCTTCACTGCTTTAGTAAACTAGAAAAAAGACGGTTTTCAGAAGTCAGTGTTTCGTGAGAATTCCATAATTGAATATAAATAACATTAGAAAGACTAAAGCCCAGATTAAGTCAAACATACATTTTGTTTACTTGTTTACTTTTATTTATTTATTTTTTTGGAGATGGAGTTTTGCTGTCACCCAGGCTGGAGTGAAGTGATGTGATCTCAGTTCACTGCAACCTCTGCTTCTTGGACTCAAGCGATTCTCCTGCCTCAGCCACCCAAGTAGCTGGGATTACAGATGCACACCACCATGCTCGGCTAAGTTTTGTATTTTTAGTAGAGACAGGGCTTTACCATGTTGGCCAGGCTGGTGTCAAACTCCTGACCTCAGGTGATCTGCCCACCTTGGGGTGTCTGTCTTTTTTTTTTTTTTAAATAGATGGGGTCTTTTATGTTATCCAGGCTGGAGTTCAGTGGCTATTCAAAGGTATGATCACAGAAAATTACAGCCTCAAACTCCTGGGCAATCCTCCCTCTTAAACCTCACGAATAGCTGGGACTATTGGCACGTGCCACCACATCCGGCTGAGTCAAATATAACCCGATGGATTTTAGTGAGCCTATATTTATCTTCAGCTGCTGAACATGTCTATTAATCATTTCTAAAGTAAAAACTTTAATACTCCTCAGCTTTTTAAATTATTTATTCCTGTCTACCTCATTTAAGCTCAACATCTATGATGACCTCCTATGACTTTTTATTAACAGTAGTAAAAACAAAATATTGTGGGCACAGCACCCCAGACATAAAACTAATAGCAAACTCAGCAGGAGTAGGGAAACTTGTACTTTTAACTTTTCTTTGAAGTAGTATAATATCATTTACTGGTGCCATATGGTAAATATAGAAAGCAAATGGGAGCCAGTGCCTCTTAGCTGCTTTTCCTAATCATAAATGCTGCTGCTATTGTTCGGTTATTTTCTGGGTCTCAATGAGAAAACAGTAACTGAGTATGGAATCTTTAATGCAACCCAAAATGTATGACAGAGAATACAATTTTATTCCAAATTTTTTGTTTTAGAACCCCTTTCAATGCCAATCTTTTTTTTAATTTTTATTTTTAAAAGATATGGGGCATTGCAATGTTACAGTTCCCAGGCAGGACTCAAACACCCAGGCACAAGTGATCCTCCTGCCACAGCCTCCTGAGTAGTTGGGACTACAGGTACGTGCCACCATGCCTCAGTGTCCATCATTTTAAATAGCCGAAATGCAAAATACCAAGGAAGAAATACATATAATTGGATAAAAATATATGTATACAGTAACAACAGTATACCCTGTCTCCCTTTAGTTCTTCCAGGAGTTATCTTCATAACTCAAGATAGTATGTTTTCAATAGTCTTAGCAGAATTATAACTGCCCAAATAATATTCAATGTCAGCCAAATTGTTTGTTAAAATTATACTTCCTTCTGTAAGGATCTAACTCTATCACTCCTAAGCTACTAAGGATAGTGTTCCTAGCTTCAAAGTTTCCTATACCCAATCAATTACTTAACATTTTCTAGATGTTAAGTTTTCTTCTTATTTAGACCATGCTGTGTTTATGCAGTACCCCCAGACAGTTTATAGTTGGTTTTATTTTTATCGGTTTATTTGCCTTTGTTATATTGTTAGGGTCTGATATTTCAGTAATACTATCTACCATAAAATATTTTCAACATTCATTTTTAAATAAAACAAGTTCTGGCTGATATATATTTATATATATTTTACAGTTACTATTTCATATGTTTAAATTTATAATAAAAGTGTCCTTTTTACCATTTCTGTCTTCACTGAGGAGTTGTTTTCAATGTTTTACTTATTTGGAAATAATTCTATTAGGAAAGAGTTATTTGGGCAAAAACATAACATTCTTCAGACGCCATATATAGTGCTTTAGCTTGCTCCATGGTTTTATAAGCTAATTTATAAAAGTTCTGGAATGACATTCAAGTTCGCGCACTTCAAGCCATCCCGAGTGATCTTTTTATCAAGGAATTCTAGTGATCATGATGTCATGTATATTTAAATCTCAGAAATCTAAAGAAAACCAGACCCAGATTAAAGTTCCACCATGTACACACCCCACCTCACCCCACCCCATTCAGGGTGCAAGGGACAAATTTACCAGGTCTTTAGCTTCTGCTAGAAGATCTTCAACATCAGAGAAGCTTGACACTGGCTACTGTGATGAACAAGCTGACAATAGCCAGTTCACACACAAAAATATTTGAGCCCCTTGATGAAGTAGGTGCTATATTGCTCAGGTGGGATATCAGGACAGGGGGAATCTCTTCCTTTATGAAGCACAAAATCTAAAGTGGTAAGGCATATAGAAAATATGGATGGGGGCTTTCACAGTGGAGGTCTGAATGGTGGTTACTGACATCAGTTGACCGATTTGCACTGTGGGATATCAGAGGTTTGGCCTCTAACAACAGCTATTTGAATATATACTGTCATTTATTTAATAAGGTTTGAGAGGAGATTTAATGTTGAGATAGGCTGATGCATGTCAACTGCCTACTTCTGAACTTTAACTGGTAAGTGTGTATATTCACATAAACAGTCATCCATATCTACAACCAAACAGGTGACCAGAGAAAAGTAACATCCATTTACTAAAGTTTCGAAACAAAAGACTCAAGTAAAAGCAAAAGAGTGTTATGGCAACTGAGAGATGAGTAGAGGAAAAGAACCAATGGGGTGGGGAAGGGTGTTAATATTATTTTAAAGAATAAGGAGAAAGTGAGAGACTTTCATGTATTGAAAGTGTACATGTATTGTATATGAATGTGAATGCATTCTGGAAGAGAAAATGTGAAATAGAGAGGAGTGAGGTGATGCTGAGGAGCTAAAAGATCTTGCTTATTAACCAACAAAAACTTCTCCTCTAAGGGAACATAAAATTTTGAAATAGCAGAAATTACAAAAATGTCTTACTAAAAAAAAAAAAAAAAACCTCTTGCAACGAGACTGTGAATTAAAATGCATCTCCTTTAGTAAGTTTGCTGGAGATTTACACAGGTAGTATCCTGTCCTCCATGGCTGTATCTCAGATGAGCACATTACATAGAGGTAATCAGGCACATGGCTTTAGTCACACCTGATCGCACATTTGATCCTGCCCCTGGTTTTCATCATCTAGTCTTTTCTGGTTCCTAGAGATAAGTACTTCAAGCCAATTTCAACCAAGAGAAAACTGTCAAAGTATTTGCTAGTCTTCCAACACTCAGAGCCTTCAAGGTCTTGCTAACCTAAAGGCAACATAGGCCAGTCAGACATAAAGGGTGTGTTTTGATTAATCACAGTCTTGGAAATGAAAATACACCACCTATGTCATACAAAACAATGGAATCTGGAAAGTAATTATCTACCACTTCATTTCCTGCACCATGAAGTCTGGATCTCACTCCTGCTATTTCCCGTACAGAATAATAACTGAAAGTATCACAACGAAGCCCAGCCCTGTCAAACAACACTCAGTGTGCAAGGGGGAAACTTACCAGGTCTTTAGCTTCTGCTAGAAGATCTTCAACATCAGAGAAGCTGAAGCTGGCTACTGTGATGAACTGGCTGACAACAGACACAAACTTATCTCCGGGTTGTGGAGGCTGAGACTTCTGATATTCCAGCTCCTTAAACACAGGAAACGAATAATGTCAATGCAAGCTTCAAATATGAGACAAGGTGTGTCTCATGTCTATATTTCACATGCCTTAAATTTAATAAATCAGAATGGCAAACACATCAAAACTTGTTCTAAAACATTTTGTTACTATACTGTGGCACCCCTAACCTTATTCCCACCATGCCAAAGCTATGCTCATGCGCACATGCATATTTGCAAATAGCAATTTACCAATCATCTAAGTACATCATCTATGTGATTTCACTTTCAGGTTTTAGAAAGCAAGCAGATTTACATGTGGATACAATTAACAGAAGTTAAAAAATAATGGGGGCAAACTGAACTCTAAGGGCTTTTGAGTGAAAATAAGAGACTCTGATTGTCAATATTCCATGCTCAGAATTCTGGTGCCTTGATTTTTTTCTTCTTTCCCTCTCAGCCAAGTCTATTTACTTCTTAAACTGTGGGATATGGGTCAGTAGAATTTTGGCTGTAGCATTTGACACCATAATCTTCTACCATTTTTCTCTTGTCCATACCATATGGTTTTTGTGAACAGGCCTAGAGGGGAAGTTGTCTCTTGTTAATTATCCATATTCCCCATAACCACAGCAATGAACACAGATGATACAAATCTAATGTTAATCATTGCCAGATGCACATTCTTATTTAAAGCCCACAACATCTCTATGAGTGAGGCATCACTATTCCCATTATACAGACATGTAAATTAAGGTTTGGAGGGATGTTACTTGCCCTGAAGTAGTGCTGACCAGTGACAGAGCCAGAATTTGAACTCCAGCCTGCATGACTCCAGAGTCTTGGTAATAACTATGTTGTGTACCAATTGACTTAAACTGGATTCTCCCGCATTTTCTTGTATTGGCAGAGATCTTCACAAGCAGGAGAGTAGGGGTCACAGGCTGTGGGTTCTGACACAGCTCTATCACTGATTTGGTTCTTATCTATGGTATGTTGCTCTGAGCCTCAGTTTATTGATTTTTTTTTTAAAGAGGGCAATATCCACATCACCATTAGACTCAAATGAAATAATGGAAGTGAAAACTCATCAGTTATGGAGCTGGCTCTGACTGGAAGAAATTGCCATGATTCTAGTACTGTGGCCTGGAAAATGAGTGTATCTGTGTTCATTGTTGAGATGGGAAAGGCATTTGAAGTGTTTTATTAATGTATAATTTTATAAATATTCATCTCTGGTGCCTTCTAACAATAGACTTAATTTGTGTAAAGCACAATTAGAACACATGTATACTTGGCCAGGCCAATCTCTGCCCCCTGCTATTTTCTTACAATACGATGTACATCTCCAGGAGTGGGGGCCCCCTTCCCATAGAAAGTGTGATGCACTGTATATGACCCAATGGACAGAGCGATTTCAGCAAAACTATCCTTTAATAAAGCAACAACACGAAATTCCCCTGGAATCCCCCACACCAGGCCTTGCTCTGACCTGGCTCAGAAGCAGGGGTCAGAGCCAGGCTTTAGGGCCATCATAAGGACCATGGACCCTCTGGGGCTGGGAGAAAAAGTTCAATCAGTTGATTTTTTTTTTAAATACTGCCCCCTACATTAAAAAAAGAAAAAGAAAAAGAAAAAAACCTTACATGCTCCTTAATTTATTGAAAACAAAAAAATTAGACATTGCGACATTAATTTTTATTAAAGGTATGTCTTTAATGAATTCAACTACTTTCTTTTTTTTTTTTTTTGAGACGGAGTTTCACTCGTTACCCAGGCTGGAGTGCAATGGCGCGATCTCGGCTCACCGCAACCTCCGCCTCCTGGGTTCAGGCAATTCTCCTGCCTCAGCCTCCTGAGTAGCTGGGATTACAGGCACGCACCACCATGCCCAGCTAATGTTTTTTGTATTTTTAGTAGAGACGGGGTTTCACCATGTTGACCAGGATGGTCTCGATCTCTTGACCTCGTGATCCACCTGCCTCGGCCTCCCAAAGTGCTGGGATTACAGGCTTGAGCCACTGCGCCCGGCCAAATTCAACTACTTTCTATGGTAATTGAGCAGGCCCGAGCGATGTGTGCTCTGAGCATAGTCACCAGGGACACTGCTCTGCCAGCCTGTTCTCATCCCTGCCCCCTCTCTTGCTGGCAGCTGCATCTGCACAGTACCCACAGGGCACTGTGCCAACAGGCATGTTTCATCCTACCGGCTCCAGTCTGCCAGCCTGACTGGTTTTCCTTGGAGGCCTGGGCCCAGGTTGTCTTGTATGCCTGGGATAACCTTCCTCCCATGCACCTGGGATAACCCACCCTCCTAAGCCATAGCTCCAACAACTTCTTTTCCAAAAGAGAAGCTTCGTCTAATAGGGATCAATTGTCCGACATACCTCCAAAGCACCCTCAACCCGCTGCCTTCCTTAAGGCACCTCTGTAATCACTCTGCTTATCTGGATGGGGCCAGGCTGAGGGAATTGGCTGCTCTGATTATTACACCTGGAGGACAAGGATTCTGAGTCATGGTTGACCCTCAGCTACAGCATGGACTACCGTGTCTGCTCAGTAAATACTCCCCGGAGGACCAACTCAAAAACAACAGAGAAGTTCTACTGCTCTACTGAAGGTGAACACCATACATTAACAGCACTTGGAAATTGAGAGAGTCTCTGAAGCTCATCTAGCCCAACCCACTCATCCTGATGAATCTGCCTCACAGATAAACTGGTGGCATGCTAGGGCCAGTTTCCAGTTACGCTGCAGTGACTCACCCATGACCCGTGCTGCCTGCAATCACACTGCCAGGCTGAACATAACCTGCCTTTGCTTCTTGTGGTGGTGGTTTTTTTTTTAAATCAATACTTGTTTATCCTGGGCATACCACATGCCAAGACAACCAGCAACTCAGCTGCCGGAAACCACCAGCACTAGAGATAGCGAAGAGACTAGGAATTAGAACAAAAAGCAAATACTCACTGTCTCTACTGCTTTCAAGCCACTTCTCAAGGTATTTATTTCTTTGTCCAGCTCAGTCATGCTGTTGTAAATAGCAACGTTTTAGCAATCAACATGTGACTTACACATATTAAATATAAGTTGGGTTTAAATATTTCATGCTTGGAAGTCCATATTAGCTTAATTTAAATGTTTAAAATTCCCTGCCATGCTCAGGTCTCAAAGACAACAGTATTTTAAACTCATGAAATTTAGGTATAAAATTATGTGTCTTGTTTTCTGTAGCCAGCAGGTATACTTTACAGGTTAAAAATAGCAGAAGAGAAATATCTTTGATCTGTGCAAAAATATTTTGTTTCAAACTCAAAAAAAAAAAAAAAAAAAAAACCTCACTTCAGCAAATTACTCCATGTAGAAATAAATCTCTTGCCACACATGGCTCCTTTGAAAACATAAAAAAAGATGGGTTCATTTGCAATCATGTTCACATTGTGCTCTGCATAATCAGTGTTCTGCTTTTCACTAAGACCCCAATAATATGAATATTACAAGGTAATGACTTACGTTGCAATAAACAATGATTTTTCTTAAAGTTGTATTAACTAGTTATTTTCATTTTTATTTTTTTTTAATAGAGAAAGGTTCTTGGGCTTTTCCCATACACAATAGTTTCTATTTCATGGCTTTTAAACATTAGAGATTAAAACTTAATTATCCCAGATAATTTACAACATATAAAAAAACTCACCAATACTTCATTTAATTTCATGCCTTATATAGTAAATTTCCACCAGATTCCATGAACAGAGGGAAAAAATGAGCCTGCTCATTATACTTTTCATATTCACTGCAAAAAGATGCAGTTTATGTTTCAAAAAAAGAGACAGCCAAAAGAGGGACGGAAAAACAGTAAGGAAAATTGCCTGCTTCTCAGTCTCTGAAACGTGGTGTGAAGTTTGTGGTAAAAGTTTGGCAACTTTCCATTTTATTTTTAGTTTCCTCATTTGCATAAAGACTGCTTCCTATTAAAGAGCCGCCTTGGTTTCTGGGAGTATGTGTGCATATGTGAAAATTATTAGCAACGCCCTGACACTTAGGTCTTTTATTTGCTTAGCCATGCATCTTGTTTAACTAAGGATGCTCCTACCTGTATTAAAACACATGCCCTTTAAAACTGTGAAAGTTAAAAACTGCATGCGGTATTCCAAAGGAACTAGAACAAATATATAATCAAAACCTTGGAACACATTTGAGCGATTTGGATGAGTTTCAAACTTTATTTCATACAATGTTCAGGGAAAACAAATAGAAGAACTGACTTCTACAGTGCTGACTACCTCAATAGCTAACACACAGTCCAAGCGATTTAAGAAACTAACACTGTTAAGTACTTACTTTACTTTTGCAGCTTGAGGAATATCCCGCAATTCTTCATTTAGATTGAGGACACTGGGGTACTTACTTTCCACAATAGTGATCAGATAGTGCAAAAGGGTAATGTTCCTACAATTGAAGAAGGGAAGAGTATTAAACATTTATTTTCCTTTAAAGTACATAAATATATGAATAGTTAATACTTGCATATGATTTATATGCTCAAATTGTAGAACCCACAATAATGCTATATTACCTGCATTAACTTTGACATTTGGAGGTTTGTGTAAGGCAGGGATTCTCAAGAGAAGGGAATAATGGCAGAGCCTCCGAGGGATTACATAAATATATGTCAAAAGAAGTATACAATTTCTAAAAAAAAAAAGGGTAATAATTACATATTTGGGTCATAATGAGAATCTTTCAAAATCTGGGTAATATGATGGGTGAGGTAAGTGAATCTGAACCACTGCCAGTGGAGACAAGTTTACCTTCCCAGTAGATCCACCCTAAAATAGGGTGTGCCCTGCAGGTTTATAACTAGTAGGCTTGGGTGGAGTGGAATGGGGTGGAGTGGAGAGTGAGGGATGTTTATTCCACTGAAAAGGGCAGCTATTCTTTAGTCTAAAGTACGAAGTAGTAACTCACTGATGACATTATTATTATTTTTGAGACGGAGTCTCACTGTGTCTCCCAGGCTGGAGTGCAGTGGCACAACCTCCGTCTCCCAGGTTCAAGCAATTCTCCTGCCTCAGCCTCCCGCGTAGCTGGCATTACAGGTGCCAGCCACCACACCTGGCTAATTTTCATAGTTTTAGTAGAGACAGGGTTTCACCATGTTGGTCAAGCTGGTCTTGAACTCCTGACTTCAGGTGATCCACTCACATCGGCCTCCCAAAGTGCTGGGATTACAAGCATGTGCCACTGTGTCCACCTATTGATACTTTTTAATAGGCTTTCAACCAAAGAGTGGCCAGAAAGTTAGAAAGCCCCCTCTCTTAGGGCTGAACCTGGAAGTGGGCCATAACTGCCATCATGTGATATCCTCGCAGCCCTGAATCCACTTCCTAATTTAGCAACACTTCAGCTCCTAACTGCATAACTCTTAGTAGTTACAACAGTTGGTTGTGCCAGCTCCCTCTCTGGTGGTGACAGGGCTGAACTCTGACTGACCTGGATTGAAAAGGCAGGCGTGTAGGATAACAGTATCTATTAGGCAACACTGTGTTCAACTGGTCCCATCGTCACTGACTGCTGTACATTACAATCACCTGGACTCCAGATGCCTGGGCCAACCCCAGAGATTCATTTAATTGGAATGAGGTGGAGTCAGACATGGGCATTCTTTAAAACTCCCTGTTGATTTATCAAGCAGCGAGAATCAAGAACTACTTATCTATTTAAGTTAGAATCAGGAGTGTAAAAATACATTCCTTTAAAAAATTTTCCATAATTTAGGCAGTTTGCTAATTCACAATGCTAAGCTCCAATACTCCTAACTCACCTCTAACCAAAATGAGTCAGAGTTTTCAATTTTCTATAACAATGAAACCATTTCTGGTTACCCTTGTGTTTCACAGAGACAATGCAATCCTATAAATCCTTATTTTTCCTCACTCTCAGTCTCTCAATAATTAGTAAACAATCGCCCACCAAAGCAAAACAGTGGCCAACAATTTTGGCCATTTATTTTTCATATGTTCAGCTGCATCCTTCCATTTCAGTTTTTTTTTTCTTTTTTGACACAGAGTCTCGCTGTCGCCTGGGCTGGCGTGCAGTGGCATGATCTCAGCTAACTGCAACCTGTGCCTCCTGAGTTCAAGGGATTCTCCTGACTCAGTAGCTGAGACTACAGGTGCATGCCACCATGGCCAGGCTAATGGGGTTCCACCATGTTAGCCAGGATGATCTCGATCTCCTCAGCTCGTGGTCCACCCGTCCCAGCCTCCCAAAGTGCTGGGATTAAAGGCATGAGCCACCATGCCCAGCCCTTTTTTTTTTTTTTTTTTTTTTTTTTTTGAGACACAGTTTCACTCTTGTTACCCAGGCTGGAGTGCAATGGCACAATCTCAGCTCACTGCAATCTCTGCACCCTGGGTTCAAGCCATTTTCCTGCCTCTGCCTCCTGAAGCAGCTGGGATTACAGGCGCCCATCACCATGTCCAGCTCACTTTTTTGTATTTTTAGTTGAGATGGGGTTTCACCATGTTGGCCTGGCTGGTCATGAACTCCTGACCTCAGGTGATCCACCCGGCCTTGGCCTCTGAAAGTGCTGTGATTACAGGCATGAGCCACTGCTCTGGCCTCCATTTCAGTTTTGCTGTTGACAGAAACTACCTGTCTGCCCATGTGCTTCTTATCTAAGGGGCTGAGGAGGAGGCAAAATGCCAGCTACCATCACAAGACAGAGTTAGGTTTTTTTTTTTTCGTTTTTTAGAGAAATGCTTTGCTTTTTGAGAGACAATTCAATTAATTTCATTAACCATATACACCTTTCTTGTTGTAGAAAGGTTTATAAACCAGGCCCGATCTTCCATATTTGTTTGCTATCCAAATACTACCTCATTTGACTAAATGAAAATTTTTAAAGAAGGAACAACAGCCATACATTTGATTCTTCCCTAGTCATTACCAGTAACCAAGCCTTCAATGCTGAGTGAATGCTCCCTTCCTGCTGTCTCACTACCTACACCATCTCCTTAGATTCAACTGAGCAACATTAATGAGTGACTGCTTATAAGCAAAGCACTTTGCTAGGCACGAAGGTGTATAAGGCATGGGTGCTGCATTTGGGGACCAAATATTAAAGGCAGAAAAAAAAAAGAGGAAAAAGATCAAATAGTTTTAGCTTGTTCTTTTTAGCTTGAAAAGGCTTGTACATTATGTAAATTCTGTAGCCTCAGTAAATAAGCAGATAATCACGTAAGGGCCAGGTTATTGGTAAGTGTTGGGGGTGGGGGATTGCTTTCATATGTCTTCAGTCGAAGAGAATGCCCTTCCTTAAAAAGGTAGCTGCTCTTTAGACGCAAATAAGATCTGCCATTCCCTACTATAACCTCCAAATAAGATCCTTCTGTTGCTAATAGAGCTGTGGCTGGACCAGCAGAACCGGTGTCAAATACCTACCTGTAAGGCCGAATATATTGCTTGTAACCATAGGCAAGGTGAATGAGCCACCTGACCCTGAGTCAGTTTCTTCTCTGACAACATATGACAACACTACTTGGCTAGTGTACTTTACAGGCTATTGGGACAATCAAATGTGAAAGTGCTCTCAAAAGGATCAAGTGTTTACATTAAAAATAAGGTGGCAGGGCTATAACAGCAGCTGCTCTTCATTAATCTATCTCTACATGATGCAAAAACAACAAATTAACACGTTGCTTATTTATTCTAGGATGGATTTAGGATTGCCAGGACACTATGCTTCACAAACACTATAGAAAATATAGGGTACAAGACCTTATTAGTTAGAAGTAATTAGGGTTAAGAGCCCATATTTCTAAAAAGAACTTGGGTATGGAGAAGCTTACCTTAGAAACAATTGTGCAAGTTCCTTTGAAGTCAGTGAGAACCTCAGAGAAACAAAGCTCTCAGGGAAACTCGAGTTAATATGCCTAATGACCCTACACTGTTAATGACATAAGAGCGTTTTCACATCTTGGTGTCTTTAATGAGAATCTGTTCACCTAAAATGCAGCATTGAACGCTTTCTAGGAAGCATTTTAATGAGTCCTGCAATGACCAACTGAATATCAATAGCCAAAATGCATTTATACATTATAAGTTTTTAATATAGATCCACTGCATAAAAGAAAAACATAACCTAAAAATCCAAAAAGGTTCATAATTTAGCATCAACTAACATTTTTTTTTTTTTTTCTTTTCTGTGGAACACAGTTTTCTGTAGAGGAGTCGTGGGGAGATGTCCAGAGTGCTGGTAACATTCTGTCCTTGATCTGGGTGCTGGGCATACAGGTGTGTTTAATTTGTGAAAAATCATCAAGCCCAACATTATTTTTTGTGAACTTCTTATGCTATAATAAAAAGTTTACAAAAAATAATTTTTTTAAAGGCAGGATGAAACAAAAACAACAGCAAAACTTGGAATAGATGATGTCCCTGTGGACCAAAAATGGATGAAGGATAATTGGTCCAACAGGAATGTGTGAGATACTTGTGGTCATGAGAGAGGTTAGAAAAGAATCAGGGTCAGAGAAGGGAAGAAAGTAGTGAGAAAGAGAAGTTCAAACTGAAGACAGCAGTGTCATGAAGGCTGAGGAGGACTAGAGGGAGACAAATCTGAGCCTGGACCTCTGCACCTGGCTACCCTAAGTGTCGGAAGATTCCCACACTTACTTGTCAATGCTGGATTTTGTGTCAGCAATTTTGTTTAGGCTAGATATCTTGAATCCATAGGCATTCCCTCTTTGTCCTTTATTCATATAGTTTCCAAATGCCAAAACCACCTCCAGCAACTGCTTCAGGGCACTGCTCCTAAACACCTCTTCTGAGCCAGAACGAATTGCTTCAAAACACAACACACAAAAACACAATGATTACCAAGTGTTTCACTGTTTGAAATCAAGACATTTCAGTGATACCCATCCTAAATTCACACACATAATAACATATATGGAAGATGTAAGACTGAGTTACTGGGTTACCCAGAGCACTTTCAAAACACTTAAACCGGAAGCAAAGAACATGGACAAGGAGAGCCACTCAAGTTGTTACCAACACCCACAGACAGCTGCAAAATCCCATCCTTTCTCAGGCCTTTCTTGGCTGACTCATCGGTCGTAAGCACTCAGGAATACCTAGAATAGCAACTCCATCTCCAATATTTCTTTCCTAACACTTACTTGTCTGGTGTAGGTCAGATTAACAGGAGTATTGATCAATTCCACTGACAGAAAACTGGTCAAATGTGTTACATGTTATAGCTTGCAGGTGTCATAACAGGGATCAGAGCTTACACAGATGCCTGATTCCAGCCTGCATTCTGTGGCTGTGCTCTTCAGTTGCCTTGCTTGCATTTCAAACATTTAAAAAATTTAAAAATCAAACCATACAACAGCCTCACGCTTCCCTTTGAAAAATCTACTAAGGCTCTGTTGTGAGGAAGCTAATTACAGCTTTAATGCTAGTAGCGGTGAGATTAATTCCTCACCAGCACCCAGGCAGTCAAAAGCCCAACCCTGTAGAGGAGCCCAGGAGGCGTGCTGTGAGCTCCCGAGCCTAGGCCAGTGCATCAAGCACTGACCTTAAGTAATCATCCCTCAGAATTTTAAAAGACTTTGAGCCAAAAAATAAAATAAAAAATCACCAAGAAGATCTTGTTTGCTATCTGCACTTGGACTGCACTTTTAAATGGGCTGTAATGATGAACATCATTTCCAATCTAGGCAGCTTGACTTTACCTTCTACTTTAGGTTTCACTTCTGCCACACGCTCTGCAAACTTCTTTTTGAAGTACAGAGATTGCAACCTTTGCTGATAGTGATTAATTCTGTAAGAGCAAACGTGGACGAATTGATATTTACTTAATACATCTATGTTCACTTAATAATGGATATGGAGGTGGGGGTGCCTAGCATCTCCCCAACACCCACCCACTCCCCCAACACAAAGACATCGGTTCTTCTCATGGACAGGAGCACAGGGCATGAAGCCAGCTTTGCCTGGAGAGCCCATTTTGGTCTGACCTTCAGGGGCTATTTGGTCAACTGCAGCAGAGTCCTTAGCTCCAATCAACACCAACTGCTAAAAGACAGTGGGAGCCGGCTGCTGTCGACTAAAGCCCCTCTCCTCCTTCAGAGTCCCAGGAAGAACTCCTTTGAGCATAGAAGAGTTTAAGGGAACAAAAATGTAAAGAATATCCTACTGCAAATAAAGGACAGTTCCCTACACCTTTCCCAAATTTCTTAACTTTCCAAAGTAAAAACTGGTCTCCAGCATCCCCTTTCCACATTGTCTCGTCCTCTTACCCATCTGCAAACCTCCCTGTTTTCACAGTGAGCACTCTCTCAGCTCCCCTAAGGGAAAGAGTTGTGCCCTGAGGTTCACTGAGAATTTCAGGACCACTGGTCCTTCTCTAATGTGGAATCAATTTTCTAGGCCCGAGATGGCAGATCGACTTAGCTCATATGCCAAACCCAATTACAAAGCTGTGGCTGCCTCAGGGCTTTTTGGAGAAGGGTTCAGAGAGCTTGCCAAGGCTCTGTGGGAAGAGTGCCATGATCGATTAGTGATGTCTGCATGTGTCATGATTTCACATCTAGATCCTGGTTGTTCAGTTGTGTGGGCTTGAGGCTGACATTGCCAGAGTTTGTCCATATATATATATATATAAATTTTCTATTTTACAACCACCTTGCCATGCTAAGCTACTTGAAAGTATGAGACACTATCCCAAGAAATCAAACTGGTGAGGAGAATGATATTAACTGGAATCAGAAAAAGTTATGACTTGATTAGGCCAAAGGGGCCCAGACATACAGATAATTGTGAAGAAACTCCAACCCTGGCTTACCCATAGGCAAGAACTGACACAAACAAAACAAATTCCATGTGACTCAGACATGAGAAGAGTTTTAGAATGAAAAAGCTTTCACGTTAGGCCAGGTTAATTAGCCCGAACAATTCAACATGAATTGAAAATTCATGAGTCTCAGAAAGGGAAGGGACATCTTCACATTCTAAGCCCTTTCAAACTCACCGGCTCATCTCAAAAAGGAACCTATCAGCCTTGGCCATCCGATCCAGTTCATGTTTATGTTCCTCCAACAGGTCAATGTCACTTTTTTCAGGAACAAATTTCAAGAGCTGAAAAGTACATGTGAATATTAAAACTGAGGTATATCACTTAAATCCATGTACTAATTTCCTACCCTTTCAGTTGGTTTGTTCCAAGATAAAATGTTAACTCTTGTTGAATTTATAAGCTATGCTCACAGGTTAAGATACAATAGATATGATTAAATATTTCCATTTTTACTTAAAAGTAAATTATAGGTATAAAATTCATTGCTGGCACCTTTCTGTTCTCTACTGCCTCTCAAATCAGAATTGTGGGAGTTCTCTACTGGAACCTCTTTTTCACAGACCATTAGAAGAACCTTAGAGAGTCAACACTGTCATCAGAAGATGATACAGCTGAGGTCCAGAGAGAACAAGCCACTGACCCAGGATTACAAAGCAAGTTTGTGTAATGATTAGTAGTAATAGAACCTAGGTCTCTTGGCTTCCAACTCTATGCCTTTTTTCTGTTACATCATGCTCTAATGAATAATTCCATTGGTAGTTTCCATTCCATTTTCTTATTTTTCTAGTCTATCTAATTTAATCTTTTACCCCCTTTCTTGGAGAGTTGGGTGAGAGGAACACAGTGGGATTTGATGTTTTTAATTTCATATGTTATTTAGAAGGAAGAAATGAGCAGGGAATGTGGAAGAAATAGTAACAATATTTAAAACTGAAACAGTACTTCTCTACGTGTATAATTTTCTTTCAAGGTATACATGTTTTGGATGTGTATGCAAGACCTGTGAACTCATGCTGTTTTCTAGATCAAATGCCTTTAGCCTTTTTTTTTTTTTTTTTTTTTTTTTTTTTTTTTTTTTTTTTTTTTTTTTAACATTGACCTTCTTGACTTTGATACTCTCCCCAAAATTTGATGCTGGAACTGGATGATCCATTTAGTAGGTTTTCAAATGTTTGTTGGATTTAACTGAGGGACCTCAGAAAGGCAGTTAGTCTGGGTGACATCAGCAGAGAGAGGGGATTGGGAATTACAAGGAAGTGTTGCGTGAGGCTGGAATACCTTCCAGGCAGAGTGTGTACTGTGTGCCGGGTTCTGGAACAAGCAGCGCAGCACTTAGGCAGGCGGAAGAGCAGTGGTAACATCAGTGGGAAAGGGCAGGGTAGGCAAGGGCAGGGAGTAGCAAGGTCTTGTAAGAAGTTCTGTCTTTATGTTGAGGGCACTGGAACATAACTTAAAAATCTCATGTAGGAGAGTGAGTTTACATTTTTAAAAAAAAATCACTGTGGTTGCAGGATGGAAAAACAATTAGAAGGGATTAAAAATATGAGGGAGTCATGATTAGATAGTGGAGTAAGTAATCTGGGTGAGAGATGATGGTGGTCTGGATAGGGTGGAGATAGTGGCCAGACTCTAGAGCTATTTATGAGACTTGAATGGAACTGGCCTGACTTGATGGATGGTGGTTTATGAGGGAGGAAGAGTCAAAGACGATGCCTGGGCTTCTGGCTTATGCAATAATGTAACAGGGAACCCAGGAAGAGAAGGCTGGAGGTAGGGTGGGCTGGGATGGGGAGGAGAAGGTGAGTTTAATGTTCAAAATGATTGCATGGAACCGAGTTGAGATTTCTAGTATGCAGCTGGAGAAAGGGTCTGAAGCCCTGGGAAGATCTGTTGGGAAGCAGAGGCATGGCATTGGTTGTAACAGGTAGGTTAGTGAAGGCATGGGTGTCAGTGAGATTAGGAGAGGTGTCATCAAGAGGAAAAAAAGCAGGGCTGGAAAGAACCAGCATTCAAGGGGCCAGGACAAGGAAAGGGAAAACCTTCAAAAGAAGGCCACAGAGATGGAGCCAGAGAGGGCTGCGTGGCTCACAGGGCCACAGGAAAACAGCATTTCAGCATGGAGCAAGTGGCCACGGGTGCCAACACCCCCAAGAAACTAAGGAAAATGAGGGCCCTGTAGTGTCCCCTGGCTCTGGCAACAGGGAAGCTGCAAGTGCCCCTGAGAAAAGCTCTAGGGAGGAAAGGAGGGCAGCATGGCAGAGTGGATGGGAAGTGAGTGTGGACGGCTTTCAAAAACTCTGGCTGTGCCAGAGAGAAGACAGCAGCTAGGTGGGGATGTGGAGTCTTGAGAGAGGCTTGTGCATAAGATGTGTGTGTGCATGTGTGTGTGCAGGGGGTGTGTAGGGATGTGTAGGTGTGTGTGTGTGTGTGTGTGCAGGGTGTGTAGGTGTGAGATATGTATGTAGGAGCTGTATGTAGGGGTGTGTTTAAGTGCTAAAGGCTAACACTTGAATGAGCTAAGAGTAGTAGGGCTGATCTAGAGGAGGGGGCAGTCAGTCCAGCTGGGGTCCTGACTAGAAGGAAGGAAAGGGGCCAGAGCGAAGGGAAGGGATATCCTCTTGTTCCTAATGGGATGGAAGTGGGGGAAGATGGAAGTAGATGCCAGGGAGTTCATAGGTCTAGGGGCCTGATAGCTCCTGGACATTTCTGTTCCTGTGTTCAAATGGTGACACTGTTCAGGATGTCTTATTCTTTTTTTTTGAGACAGAGTCTCGCTCTGTTGCCAGGTGCCAGGCTGGAGTGCAGTGGCACGATCTCGGCTCACTGCAACCTCTGCTTCCTGGGTTCAAGCAATTCTCCTGTCTCAGCTTCCCGAGTACCTGGGACTACTAGCACGCGCCATCATGCCCAGCTAATTTTTGTATTTTTTAGTAGAGACGGGGTTTCACCATGTTGACCAGGATGGTCTCGATCTCTTGACCTCGTGATCCACCTGCCTCGGCCTCCCAAAGTGCTGGAATTACTGGTGCGAGCCACCATGCCCAGCCGTGTATCTTATTCTTTCTCAGTGCAGGGAAAAAAAGGTAGGAAGGAAAGGAGAAGGGAAGAGAGAGAGGAAAGCATCACCCCAGCGTCCCTCAGCTTGGATTTTTACCTACTGGGCAAGCAAACTGAGTTCTACACTCAGAGATCCTTTCACTAATTCGCACAGTCCCCTCTCTCCCTGCCAACTTGTTGTGTCAAGCCCACTTGGCCCCCGTTCAGAATAACACAGTCACTACATCTCTTGTTACCTAAAAGGACACAGTAGGAGCCACACTAAAAACTCAGTCCCCTCTCAAAGGAGAGTTGCGTTAAAGGACTGTGCATGGGTAGTTTTAAGAGAGGATGGGGCCGGGCACGGTGGCTCAAGCCTGTAATCCCAGCACTGTGGGAGGCCGAGGCGGGTGGATCACGAGGTCAAGAGATAGAGACCATCCTGGTCAACATGGTGAAACCCCGTCTCTACTAAAAATACAAAAAAAATTAGCTGGGCATGGTGGCGCGTGCCTGTAGTCCCGGCTACTCGGGAAGCTGAGGCAGGAGAATTGCCTGAACCCGGGAGGCAGAGGTTGCGATGAGCCGAGATCGCGCCATTGCACTCCAGCCTGGGTAACAAGAGTGAAACTCCGTCTCAAAAAGAGAAGATGGAGAGTTAGACAGATATCTGGAAATAAGGATAAAGATATGTGTTCCAAGAAAGAAGAGTGTGTATAGCTCTCAGCTGAGATCAGACCTCAGCAGCTGCAAGCAGCAAGAGAGGAGAGGATGAAAGTGGCCAACAGGCACATCCTAAATAGGAGTAAGGAGATGCTGGCCTCAACACTTGTCTGGGAAGAATGCTGTATAGAGGAAAGGGAAGTAAAGAACAAATAGTAAAATGAGGAAGAAAAGAAAGAGCGTGGGAGATGACCAGAGAGCAAGACACACACAGAATTATCAGGAGAGGCCAGGTCAAAAATTTCCTACTTGGCCAGATTCTGCTTCAGTAGACTGGTTTTCTTTCTTGTATTTATTTGAAGTACATTCTATTTGCACTGCAGGCCCTTTTGGCAAGATTCTGAAATCCTTTCCCTCAAGGAGGAATTTCACTGGATGCAATTCCACAGTAAACAGATCTTGTGGAATTTTAAAACATACGACCTTGTCAATAGGAGCTGAAGGCAGGAGGACTAAAGCAGCTTTACACACAGTCCTTCACTCTGGGTTAGCACATTGGGTGCAGCAGCTCGAAGGCAGGGTCACCTGGGAGGGCCAGAGGGAGCTGCGCTCCACTGTCCCAGAGCAAAGACTATGTGACTGGTCTACAGTGAGGGAGGGAAGGGTGTGTGGAGGAGACAGAAAATGCTCTCAAAATGAATTCTGGGTTCAGAGGATCCTTTAAAACCATACACAGAGCACCCCAAGAGACTTGAGAACATAATTATTAACTATTTTGATAATTAAAGAAAACCTTTAAAGGACAGCATGGAAAGTTTTTCCACGGGAAATGTGATGGTTTTCCCCCAGGACTATTCCAGCTGCAGAGGTTGCAGGCAGGGGCAGGTCCATTACTGAGTGACTCTGCAAATATCACTCCTCCCTGTGTGGTGTCTGAGACCTTTGAGGACATCATGAGAACCATGGAAAATGCACATGGAGATAGACAGGCACTCTACCCAGAGCAACTTCACTACTCAGGATTACTGTTAACAACACAAAATACCCTTATTCTCTGCTCTTGGAGCAGGGCATGCCTACAGATGCAACCCCGAGTTCAATGTGGAATCGTAGTTGCATCTGCCCACAGTTGACCTTAGGTGGACCTGACTCTAACAAATATGGATTTCTTGACCAAAACCACTTAAAATGTGAGCCCATCCCCAAAACAATGAGACAGAAGGATGGAACAGTCTTATAGCATCCTGAGACTATCACCGTGGAGCACAGAAAAGTTTAGGCCCAGACTGAGGGGCAGGGGGCAGAGACAGGTGAATATCCCTAGAATATGTTAAAGATCAACACTGTCCTCATTGTTATTTGAGGACAACTAGACAAAGATGCCAAACAACCCATGACATAGCTGGAATGGCTACACAGGAATGCTATAGAAATACTGGCTGCTTGGTCATGGATAATAAAAATTATATCAAGATACCATGAGCAAAGATGTATACTACCTGGGTGTAAATCCTGTTCTTGCTAGCCCTAGCATTTAAATTTACTGCTATTTATAACCCAAGAGGGTGCTGTACAATGTACAAAGGTAAGACTTGGCCTCAAGACTTTTACAACCTGCCTTGTGACACACATGTGTATTTAGATACAGATGACCGTGTTAGGTGCTTAAAGGTCATTTTCATGGTTGTGGGTCTGGTGACCAAGACACAAATTATATTTAGAGTTTAGTAATGAATCAGTTTCTGTAGTATGGTTTGCAATCTCACAGTGCTAGTGGGATTCTCCATATTCCTGTGAAACACACATTTTCTACTAGAGCTAGTAGATTTATATGATTTACTAAGGTATAAGACTTAATTGCAGCTTGAGGGACACTGTGGATCCTAGGCATTTGATATACTTGATCTTCCTTTCACCCATCAGTTTGGGAAGCAATGAGAGAATAAGGTCATTAAGTTTCCTAACAGAGTCACATGGAAACTGGGTTCAGCCTCCTCAATTCATAGATAGGAAATGGTCCACTAGCAACTACTGGAGGTTCTCAATATCCCACTCCCTGTTGAGAGTCGGTTTTCACTTCTACTCTGAGATACATCTGGTAGCTCACCTGTTCCAACATGTCCTTGGGCAGATCTTCCTGCTCGTCCATTGTTAGAATTGCCCGTTTGATTTCATCATTGGATAATTTCAACCTGGAGAAAGAATATTTTGTTATCAACCATAATGATTTGAGTATTACAATTTAATATAATTCATTTTGCTACTCCAGCTGCTGATTTTCAAGTACTTTTTTTTTTTTTGTCAAAATCTCTCAGTGAAAGCTTATTTCCTGAGAATATTGAACCTAAAAATAGGATTTTAAAACTGCTTTAACATTCTTTGAGGGCTTTGTAATGCTCTGCTTACACAGAGGACAAAGCTGCTATGTTCTATGATTTAGTTTTCCTAAGCAAAGGATTGGAAGATTAGAATTAGGGAAAATACCCATACACAATTGTTTTCTTTTACACATAGTATCCGTGAATTGCAGGTGAGAGGATGGAACTAAGTTTCTGACCTGTTTATATGTCAGGAGTGTTTAAAGTTTGCTGTCAGGTAAAAAATGGATTTTGAGAAGGCTAGAAACTTCATGTTATTGTTAGAAAGTTGAGAAACAGATAATATGCATAATAAAGTGTACAAGTACTTCATAATTAAGGCGTTTGTTAATACATAGAGAAACTGAGGCCCAGAATGGCCAAGTGATTTGTCCAAGGTCAAACATAAAAAATGACAGTAACCACAAACCCAAGAGTCTTGATTGCTAGTCTCAAATTCTTTAAACAAATATTCCTTACCTAGTTAATATCTCTTAGGGAAGGATTTAAACAAAAATACAAATCTGTTTTCTCTTTTTCTGTCTACCATCAACTTAAATGATTTACTAATTTAATCAGGAATCTGTGTCTTGATTGTCAGAACAACAAAGTATTGACTATAAAATATAATGTTAAGGCCAGGCACAGTGGTTCATGCCTATAATCCCAGCACTTTGGGAGGCCGAGGCGGGCAGATCGTGAGGTCAAGAGATCGAGACCATCCTGGCCAATAAGGTGAAACTCCATCTCTACCAAAAATACAAAAATTAGCTGGGAGTGGGGGGCACGTGCCTGTAGTCCCAGCTACTTGGGAGCCTGAGGCAGAAGAATTGCTTGAACCTAGGAGGCGGAGGTTGCAGTGAGCCGAGATCATGCCACTGCACTCCAGCCTGGTGACACAGCAAGACTCTGTCTCAAAAAAGAAAAAGTAACAATAGTCCTACCCAGGGCAAAAAATCTTAATTGCATTATTAGCTACAACAAGAGAACCATTCCTTTGTTTAATTTGTAAGTGTTAGACCCAGACCTTTTCTATTTTTTTTTTTTTTTTGATAGAAATGGGGGTCTCACTATGTTGCCCAGGCTGGTCTTGAATCCCTAGCCTCAGGCAATCCTTCCACCTTGGCCTCCCAAAGCTCAGGGATTACAGGCATGACTCCCCATGCATGTAAGTAAGATTTTAAAAATCTTACTTCCTTCCAACCTATAACTAATGTGGCATATTTACATGACTTGATTTGTTCTTTTAGTCTATGCTCTTGAAGAAGAGTCATATTTAGGACTGGAGATAAAGATGTAAACACACAAATATAGAGCAAGAAGATGTACATATGTCACATGCAACTTTTGAAGGTAGGGCTTTGGTGTGACCCAGTTAAGGACCTCATCTTCTATTAGACTGAGCCCCAGTCCTGTCTCTGACACTTCCTGGCAGTGTGACTACAGCCAAACATTTTCATTAAGCCTCAGTTTCCTCATCTGTAAAACAGGGATAGTAATAACTACCTAACTGCATCCCTGCCCCCCCCCCCCAAAAAAAAAGCATTGTGTTTGTATGTGTGCACATGAGGATTAAGCAAAGTGCTTAGCAAAGCTCCTGGCCATTTTCGAACACAATAAACTATATACACGTTCTACAAGATAGACTTTTCTATACTAGAAAAACAAAGTAGCAGCACTTTTGTAACCTAAATGTTCATATGCAGCTAAGAATGCATTAAACAGTGCTTAGTATGGTAATTAAGATCACTTTTCAAAGCACTGTCATATCCATTATTTCACCAGTGTTTCCTCTCTGTGTATGACATCCATTAGGTTAAGAAGGAAATAGAAGATGAGGTCCTTAACAGTGATTATAGTCATTGGGAGAACCAGAAGATATGATGCAGCCCTCAAGACACAAAGGTGTGTAAAGCACACACTCAGCCATGGGCTTGCAGATGAAGGGGAGGGCTGAATAAGTGAAAGCGTGCACTCGAAGGCAGTGTAAAAGAAGAGAACCCCCAGGTAAAGCTGGATGAGGCACCACCCCAAGGATGCCTCTGGCTTGTCTTTTTTTCTAAACTTGGGACATGATTCTGTTAAAACCATCCACCCTACTATTTAAACTGAATGTTATTTCATGTGCCATTAAGTAGAGAAGAGAAGGAAAAAATTTGGGACCCCTACAGTAATAATACCATTCTCTTCTATTTCATGTTCTCAAACCTGATAAAGCATCTAGGCAAAATGTGAAATTGTTCAAGCTGACAAAGAAGGCCCGTTCTATCACTTCCTCTGAGCTGTGGTGCCATTATAACTCCCACACCGTTTCAGCCACCCTCACCCTGGTAGACTTTTTCAGATGGTTTTAGTCCTTCTTGGTACGATCACTGCCTCATGAACATGTTTCTCAGTATACCAATGTTAGAAAATCCCCCCTACTTAAATGGAACAATTTAGCTGTTGGCATGGGTAAAGTATACAACAGTGGGAAAACCGAATTACAGGATCAAGGCCTCAACTGGGTAGCCCTAGATTCCAGGACACTAGAGGCCCTTGAGTCAATTGAAGTGTAAACACCATTGTGCGGCCATGCAAGGCCAAGAAACAGTAACAACAGGGAAGGCTGAAACTGCCAATGATGAAAACCAACTGGCTGTGAAAACATCTATAATCACGAGAAGAGCTCTGCTTATAAGAAAAAAAATAAACTAGTTCTGTGTCCTTTCACACCGAGTTGAAGAAACCATTTTATGGTGTAGTTCTGCTGAGTCCTTCTGTTTTGCATTTAAAAGAAAAGGAGTTGAAAATCAGAGTGAGAACAATACTTGAAGTATCAGATTTGCATTTCATTAGCTCCCCATATGGAGCACAGAACTTCTTGCTTTTGAAATTGTATATATTTATGCTCCTCAACCCCCAGAGGCTGTCTGGACTAAACACCAGCTCTAATTCAAAACGATTTTGGTTTCTCTTAATGTGGCCCACAAACAGACTAGAGACTTTAATGGCTAGTACTTAAGAAAATCTACCTGTCAACAAAACGCCATGCACGTGGCCTGTTGGATCAGACAAAGAAACCCTATCTTAAGGGAAAGGGGAGAAAGGTACCCCACCCTTGGGGATGCTTCTATAGGTTGCAGAGTTCTTAGTATCATCTGTCATCCACAGAATTGGTCTCTAATCTCTGTAATTAAATGTTTTTAAAGTTTGGTACTGTTCTAGAGTGCTGGAGGGTGGCAACTTTTGAGACATCTACTCTAACTTTCTTTTTTAGGCAGGAAACAAACCAGCCATCTTAAAACAGTATTCAACTCTAGGCTGCTCTGCACAAGTATTTCAAAAATTTGCCAAGAGAATTGGAACATCCAGGCGTAACTAAGATAAGGATGGATGGCTAGATCAGCCTTAGCTCTGCTTCAGTGGATTTAGGCCAAATCCCCCTACTTTAGAGTAGCTTTTTGTGGTTTACTACACCCAGGCTGCCGTGCTAAGTGAGCATCTGGAAAAAAAAAGAACAGCAGAACACTTCATAAAATTGTGTTTTAGGTGGGCTCATTTTGCAATATAATCCTGCTTCCAAGTTTCTGTCTCCCCCAACCCCTTTGGAGGAGAGGTCTGTTTTAGGGAATAAAACAGAGTACATTTTAAATTGCTACATGTCACCCATACACAGTAGAAAAGTTGCTTATTCCCTGAGGACCTGAGAAATGAATTCTCCAAGACGTGCCCGTTTTACTCTCCTCCCATGAAAGGCATGGTCCCCGATGCTCTGTACTCCCCATTCAAACGCACACCTTTTAGGCCATCTCTCTCTCAGAGCTTCAAATGATTTGGTCACTCAGGCTGCAAATACCCTACTCACTCAGCCACAGGGAGAGTCGGCACCTCTTCCCTGCCTTGGCCTCTTTCTAACTGCCTTGCTTGGCTTCAGACAAAGCTGTGGCAGGTTCCCCTGACCAAAAGGGTCCACTGACATTTGTAAAATATGAGGAAGACCTTTAAGGCATAATCGTAAATACTGTGAACACAAGCGTTCATTAAAATATAGCCCAGGGAATACGCCACAGGCTTTCACTGTGGTAAAGTCTGGTGTAATGATGGCATTGCCAGGAAATATATCCTGAGACAGCAAGATAAGAAACAGAGAAGTTCACCAGCTTCTGGGAATGAAATAAGCTGGAAAGAAAGATAGTAAGTGTGGGCAGGTGGGAAATGCTGACATAATCTTTGAAACATTCCTATTCGTTGTCCCCAAGCACAAAACCAGCCTTCATGGGCTTCTTCATCTCTCTTAAAGCTGTCCCTCAGTCATCAAGTCTCACCTGGACAACAGAGACACTTATCTGATGGCTTCCCTGGTCCAGCTGTTAACCCCTTCTAACCTGTCCCGCAAAACTGAAAGCCCAAACTAAAAAACTTTATTAAACAAACACACGGTGTCCTCCTGAACAAACGGTACCAGTTCTGATCCCATGGATACATAAATAGGACACTGACAGGGCAGTACCCATGCAGACACCCTTCAGGAGCTGCACACATCCTAGGTAGAATTGTCACAAGCCACTGCAGGGCTGCTACTCTCATGATCTTCATTTTACAGATGAGGAGGCTATGATGTGATCCTGGGCTGACCCATGACCTTATAAATGCACAAGTCCTGAATCTCCGGCTCTCCTGCCTGGTTTCATTCAATCCAACTGATACTTCTCTGCCGGGATTGCAGGGCTCTCTTTACTAGCTATGCTTATGTCCCTCCCACATCTTTGCTGCTGCATGCCTCCTTGACATTGCCTTCCTGGTCTCCTCTCGTCATGTAACAGTCCTTGCCTTTGAGGCCCACTTTCTACAGTAAGCCCTGCTGGCACCCCTCCTACACAGCTGAGCTCTGTGTCCTTCAGTCAGACCAGTGTAAGCCCTGAACTGCGCACAAATCTTCTCACAGGTGTCATTTTTCTTCTCCAATCAGTCACGTGCTTTCAAAGGCAGCAATATTATCTTAACTTTTAGTATATCCTATGGCTCTCAACGGTGCCAGGCAAATAAATGCTCCAAAGTGGTGACTGTCTAAGAAAAAAAGTGTTGAACACGTTTTCATATTTCTTTCTCCTCCTTTTATGCCCCAGCTCCTTTTGTGCATAGTAATAAACTGCCAACAAAAAGGGAAGAATGAAAAGTAAACTGCTGATTGGTTAAAAAACTAAATAGAACACAAATTATAAGTTTGCTTAATTTTTTTCCCTTTTACCACAATATTTAACATGTCATTCTGTGCTTTCCTGATGAGAGAGTAGAACAATTGACCACTGAGCACGAAAGGATGTGGCACTGAATCCTCTGTGGGAGAGAAGGCTTCAGATCCTGAAGAACATGGCCAATGGCCAGCAGGTCAAACGGGACTCAACATTACTTTGTCACACACAACACACTATTTTTTTTTTTTTTTTTAAGATAGTCTCTCGCTCTATCACCCAGGCTGGAGTGCAGTGGTGGAATCTCAGCTGACTGCGACCGACGCCTCCCAGGTTAAAGCGATTCTCCTGCCTCAACCTCTCCCGAGTAGCTGGCACTACAGGTGTGCACCACCACGCCCGGCTAATTTTTGTATTTTTATAGAGACGGGGTTTCAACATATTGGCCAGGGTGGTCCTTAACTCCTGATCTCAACAACAGGCTTTTTGTGTTCACTGTAATAACACATCCACTAAACTGAATTTTAATTGATAATCTGACAGATATGAGGCCAGTTCTTAAAACTGTTTTAAGATAGTTTAGATACATTCAAGTTCTAAGTCACCTCAAAAGTGTCAGCGCCTAAGGTTACAAGGGAATACATACCACAAATATAAACTAATTCCCTCAATAATAGAATGGGAAATTTGCCAGAAAGAGATGTAACCTTATCTATATCTAGTTTAATTACCCTGACTGATACTTAGTACTACTGAATAATCCGTCAATGAGGAATGAGACCACAGTTTTCACTCTAAAGGCATTTCAACACTACAGAAATTCCGTGACAGCTCCCTTTGCCAAGTGTTTTAAAGCATTCATCTGGATGGTACAAGCATAAAATATAGAGAGAAATTCTAGGATGTAAAAAAATCCCTGCAACTTTCCCCAAATTAATTTAATTTTGCTATTAGAAATACTACTTATAAAAAGGTAACAAAACGAATTGTTTACACTGTACAGCAGTCTTCCCTTATTGGAGGGTGATATGTTCCACGACCCTCCAGTGGAGGCCTGAAACTGTGGATGGTATTGATCCTTACACAGACTATGTTTTTTTTCCTATATGTACATACCAATGATAAAGTTTAATTTATAAATCAGGCACAGTGAGAGATCAACAATAACTACAAATAAAATAGAACAATTATAATATATTGTAATAAAGGTTATGTGAATGCAGTTTATTTCCAAATATCTTATTGTACTAGACCATCAATAACTAACTACAGAGAGTGAAACTGTGGATAAGGGGTGAGGGTTACTGTAAAAGAAAAATAAGTTGACCTTCAAATTATTTTCAGTGGTGTCTTCCTAAAGCAGATAGATATTTTATCTAACCTTAGCATAGTTCCTGACACAAAAGTCAGAATAAATACAGGGTCTGGTCACTTGCACAGCTTTCAGCCAGAGGCAGAAATAAAACACTAACAGGATGGTTCAGGTTACCTAACTAGTTGCGTTAAAATTCAAAGATCTCACTAAGGTTCAATTTCTCTTCACTGAAAGAAACATTTGCTCCCAGAAGTAATATATATCTGGCTAAGAATCAACTTCCATGATGAAAACCAAGCAGCAGCTCTTTGTGTTAAAAGAAATTCATTCTAAGTACATTGAAATAATAAGGACTACTACTTTCCCTCTCTTCATTCTCCTTGAAAAAGAAGTCACCTTATACCAGCCTCAATGCATATGCAACATGCCTTCTAGAATGTTACTTATCTTTAAAGCCCTAACATTTAAGATTCTTTATATCTTCACTCACTCCATAAGTATTAGGTGTCTTTGCCTAACGTGAAAGTTCCTTTTATAGAAAAGAAGAAACTAGATAAAGAAAAGCTATTTGACATCCCCAGAACAACCTGACAACATTGCCCGAAGCTGCAATCAGATTTCAGGCTCCCAAATTTTCTTTCTTCTTTTCAAGTTCCAAGGCTGTGATGGTTCACTAATTATGAGAAAGATTTCTGAACAAGGCTGAACTGGGAAAATTAACATTTCATGGAGGTTTGAGATTTACATATCCTTTTAGCTATAAAAATGCTCAAAAAGAGCATGAAATCATATAACCTTGAAATGTAAAAAGGTGACTTTAGAAAGCAAAATAAAAGAGCCTTCATCTGTTGGTCCTGATTCTGAGACAATGTTACTAAATGACCAAAATATCTCTAAGGCCAAGAAGTGTAAATAAAAGTCAAGTCCATTTTACAGGCTTTCTGGGAAGAAAAGATTGACTTAAGATGTTCTGCTTTTAAATTTAGAGGTCTGTGGAAATTAAGCTTTGGGAAAGAAGGCATTCAGCTCTGATATGTTCCACTAGGGAAACTAAGCACCAAGAGCTGTTCTCATTTTAACAGAAGGGAATCCAAAGAACTGTACCTCAGCAGAGTACAATTAAAACAAAATCACTAACATGTGGTTTTGAGCCACAGAATGAAAATGTTGGTCCTACTAGGAATGTTTATTCAACATCAACAATACCTCGACAGAAGAATGTTGCAATTCTGAGCTCTCTGACCATCAATCACCGAAAGCTCTTTGACTTTAAGTTTGGAACTCAGAGTGTCATCAATGGCATCTGCTTCTTTCTGTAAAGAGCACGAAAGAAATCCATCAAAGTCCAACAGGGACATTCAGACTTCAGACACGCACTTTCCTTTACATTTTTGTTCACACACACATTACACACACTCTACACATACATACATGGGCAAAGCTGAGATGGTGAGGTGGGGAGTGTGGAGAGATGGTGGAATTGAAACAAAGGTTACAGTCTAGTTGGTAAAAGGAAATAAGAAGAAAAGCTGACCACCCACATTTGAAAAAGCATTATTTGGAAGAACAAAGTGCTTCTAAGTTGAAGATGCTAAGTGTGCATAAATTATCAGTGAGTGGTGCCCTCCTATTGTCCCCCAGATTCCTATGGATTGCAGACAGAAGAACTGTCACTATGAATCAGGCTCAGCTGAGGCTTGCCATTGCCGGTCCAGCCACTTGCAAGGCCCATTCACCCCAGAACCATTTGCACCCTGAGCACTCAAAAAAGCTAAACGATAAAACCTCTCAAACATCTCCATGTACAACAGGAAGCTCCAAAAGCCAGATGGTACCCTTCATTACCCTGGAGCCTGATGAACAATGGGAACAGGCAGTTTGAAGCATGAGTTCAGTTACTTACACTAACAATAAAACACTACTTCCATATTCTGTTGCTGTACAGAAATCTGTAAGCTATGATGGCCAGTTATAATTTTAGGTGGAACAAACAAAAATAATTATATATAACATACTGTTTGAGTAAACTGAGCAACAGGAGTGCTTGTAATAAGAAAAAGGTCGAGGCTAACTTGATAAATATCAAGTTTGATTTCATTAGCAGAGAGGATCAATTGAAAAGTAGATTATGGCATTTTAGAAATGTAAGAAAACTGATTATTAAGTAGCTCTTTCTTTTGCAAAGTTGTATGTACACTTTACACAAAGATGAAGAATCTTAGGTGAATTCATTCAACTTACCTACAAAGTTTTCTCATTTGATGAGGAGGTTGAATTAAAGTGGTATTTCTAAAGTCTATTTAAGCTTTAAAAATTCTATGTACTTTCCTGCTAACCCTCATGAATTTATGGAGAACATCAAACATTATCAGTTCTACAAACTACTGAATCTTGGACCAGACTGCTGTTTTTAACATGAGTCTGTACTACTGTTTACATTTTTAGAGTTTAAAAAGAAAATGAATTTGTAGTGACGTGACTGCAATCTGGCTTGCTCAGATGCTAAACGTATCAAGCATCTGAATTCAACTACAGCCTATGCAATCTGTAAAAAGTATATAATTACTATCAGAAGACAATAGTCCAAGTCTTACATACACCATCAAGCCTTTTTCAAATATTTCCCATTCAAAAATTAGGAGGAAAAAAAACAAACAATTACATAAATTATTATGCCAACAATGGTAGCATTAAAAAAGGTAAGGAAACCAAAGAGCTCTAGAACTGTGTAATAGTTTGGAAAACAAAGGCAATATGAAATTTATAATATGAGGCACTATGTGATCAAATGTCAACTGTCTCGTGCTAAAATTCCAGGCGAACATCTAGGTATTCATTTAAGAGTTGAAATCCAAAGTGGAGTTACCTAGGCATTAGATTACACTATTTAAAAAAACAAAAACAAAATCCTGGATAATGAGGAGATTTCAAGCTTACAGTGAGCCAAGGAGTTATATTAAGCAAGCTTTAGGTAGTAGCTCACTTACCTGCTTGGAGTTACTGTTCACAAAGAAATCCTACAGCCATGGCAGAGGCATGGAAAAGGCAAATCAGATACATGCAGTTCAGAAATCACAGCAACAAATGGGGAAAAGTCAAAGCAGTCAAGGAAATAAGTGATGCAGTGTAAGAGATGATTTATACCCCTGGGATCATCAGTGAGAGTTGATGAAGATGAGAAAGTTTGGCTGAATACCGTGAAGAGCACAACACTACGCATTCAGGGTAGAGAAAGACGATGACATTTGCTGTAGCCAATTTTCAGTGGTGGAAAATCAAAATCAGAAAAGACAGGGCTTAAAACACCCCAGAAAGACCCAAGCTGGTAAAGGAACAAATCCTCTTTGAAATGATCACTAGCTCCATTTACTCAACATGATGATTTTTACTTGAAGCAGAATATCAATCGATTCCATTAACTTGAGGAAACTATTCCTACTGTTAACAGCAAAAAAAAACAACAAAAAAACAAACAACAACAACAAAAAAACACTTTTTTGATGGAAATAATCTCCTGTCATCTTGTGCTATAAGAAGGATTCAGGAAAGACAGGTTGAACAACTCAAGTCAGTAATATTAACCCTCAGCACCCCTATAAAGTCCAAATAATGCCTGTAGGTGCTACAGGTAGGTATGAGGAAAAAGAACATGCAATTAAGAGAAAATCAGTGGTTCGTGTGCTGTGCAGCCACTGGTGGCCCTGTCTTAACTGCCTCAGGGCTGTTCAAGCATACAAGGTCAACAGTCTCTTCTGGAAATAGTTTTTAGAAAAGACTTGGAGTGAAAAAGGCAACGAGGAAGAGGTAACCGACATGCTATGAGAAAGTTACAGCATACGTCTCATATTTTTGCAATGCTGAAATGAGTAAGGCTTCATTGTGCAAAACACGCCCCAGTTTTCGGGCCAACAGCTTGCACAACCAGCATTTGCTCAGCAGATTCCTTAAGGTTTCATTGGTCTCGGCAGCACTGCCAAGGCCAATTTTACACAGATGAGCTGTTTCACATAATTCCTCTAGTGGGAAACAGAATGTGTCCTCCCCTTACTCTAGCCATACAAGGAGGGACTGCTTTTCTAGAAAGGCATTTAAAAAACAATGAATACTCCTCCTCTGATATCCCAGTTTTCTTTTGTCTCTGTTATAACTGCCAAATTATCTACTCTGAAGCTCCTTAGGACTCTTCCTGTGAAAGCAGTTTCCTTTCAAGGGCAAAAAAGACTATGGTGAAGTGAACTCCATGAGGTCATCTTAACCTATTTTTTTCTCTTAAAGAGAGAGTTGGTAGTGAAACTTAGATCCTGCTCTCACTTTCTGACCCTCAAAGAAGAAACGTTTTTGAAGTTCACTGGCAACTCATCCTATTTTGTAATTTCCCAATGTCAGGAAATTAAGACTTCTGACCTCTAGTGTAGAGGACTGTGGAATCAGACAACTGTTACTGGGTGTGTGGCCTGGGGCTCAGTCTGTTTGTCTGTAAAATGGGGTTAATTAACAACTGATTGGTGTGAAGATAAAACATGACAATCATGTAATGCATTTTGTATAGTACCTGATATACTGTATGAGCTCAATTCTTGGAAGCTACAATAATACAATTTCATCTTTCAAGCTGATGATTAAGTCCATTTATTCCCCTTTTGCTCTGCTTTCAGTTGAGCTAGAAAAACAGCTGGTCGAGATCTCCCATTTATAACCAGCACCAGCAGTAAGTGTAACAGTTAATAATTACATAATATATTTTATCTTTCTAGGGGAGAGGATAAAGAATGCCATGCAAGAGTTCTTCAATTATTAGCCTAAAGATTCAACTTCTTTAAAAGTCCTTTACTTGGCACATTAGAAATAAAACCATAAAGCTTATAAGTTTCATTGAAAGGGGCATGTTAGAAATAACGATGCTTCCAAGCCTATTTCAAGGTAAGTTTACATTCTTTTTGAAACCTCACTCACTCAAAACTCAGATGGAAATAACAAAAGATATTTCTAATTGGCTTGGGTCAAATGTGGTAGAATCACTTATATCTGGCTTCACCTAACAGGATGTCTGGTTTTTCCAGGCAACTTTTGGCATAAAGCTTAGGGCTTGGAGTATAAATAGGAAGTTGGGACTTGCATTTTCAGGAAGCAGTGCTGATGTGCTGTAGATTGAATTCCACAATGGAATAATGACTCAACACTTCACAAATAATCGTAACTCTCACATGATTGGTTTTTCATCTTTTTGAGATAGACTTTTGTCAATCTGGTAAAAATTATGGATCCCTATCCAGAAAAATTCATACACTGTATTTATATAAAACGCTACACTTGGTTAACTCTTACCATGAAGCCTAGTTATACAACTTACACTTGGTCTTAAGAAATATTTATAATTCTCTCTTCTGTCTTCATGTGCCATGGTAAGGATCAAGCTTATTTAAATAAATATCTTAAATCTTAAAATTTTTCAATATGAAAATTAGATATATGGAATAAACGTTGTAAAGAGAATAAAAAATGAAAATTCTTTGATAACTTATAAAAAATCAGAAGATATCATTGAATGCTCTAAATGGAACTCCCAAAATGTCATATGCATTATATATAAGCAGGAGAGGTTGGATTTCAGAGCCTGGGACCACAGTTACTCTTTGTTCCTAACCCAGAGCAGAAGCTTTGAAGTTTTACAATGTGATGACAATAGGATCCTTAAGGAAGGGCTGTCCTCAAGCAAAGACCAGGGGAAAGGAAGAGATAGTGAGTTGTTAATTGGTTGCTACAGAGATATGACTCCCTTTAGGTAAATGTAGTTCCTTTAGCTCATTTCCCCTCTATTCAATTGTACAGATAGAGAGAAATGAATTTATAGAATCTACGATGAAAATTTCCCATAAAACAAAGATGAATATTGTTTAATTGTATCTGAAAAGTACTGCTATGCAATGTGCCACAATATGTATTTAAATCAGTCTTTTGTGGCTAACTTGGAAATCATGTATAAAACAGTTTCAATGAGAAAAAGAGGTCCTGAGAGTCAAGAAATTCACTTTCCAATGAACTTTCTGAATGTGAGTGGAAAAATAACTGCCTATTAGATCCCATTTCATATGGCACATAAGCTTACATAATCAGCTTTGCACACCTTTGATATCTGCACTGAACAGAACATTCTGAATAAGAGTAGTCTTGTTCTTAAAGCTGGAGTTAAAATCCTATACAAAGTCTGACATTTATAATGAATAAAAACCACAGGGAAGAACAAAGTAGAACTGAGAATTATGTCCCTTTGGAGTCACTAAATACATACCAAGCCACGTTTTTACTATCTATAAAATTTGAATAATATCTACTCATAGTGTTGGGGGTGAGCATTAAGGGAAAAAATAAGTATAAGAGCTCCTTGAGAACTAAATCTTAAGGTTGATGAGATTGGGAACTGTGTATATCATACTCAGCATCAGGAATGTAACAGAGGCTTACTATGATCATCTTGTAGTCCGTATTACATTTATTTACAGATTTTCCTCATCTCTGCTTTTATACTCTAAGTTACGCTGTGGGCCTGTGTAAAAGTTTAATACATTTTTCATCCTTTGAAGTACTTTGTATACAAAGCAGACAATATATGTTCTGATTTTATTTGATTCCTCAAATCAACTGGATATAGGTTATGTACCTAAGTGTGTGTATATGTGTGTGTGTGAGTGTGTTTGCATATACACGTGTGTTTGTATATATTCCCTAAGTGCCATTTCTCAGTATTCATCTAAATTATACTAATCTGATATGACTGAAATTTTTCCAAAATCTTACTCTGTGCAGGGTTCCTGTTGCATGCATACATAGCATTCATGTGTTCCTTTGCCCATCTGAGAATCGTATCTAGCCAAACAACTGGCTGAAGTCTAGAGAGTTTGAACAGGGTGTCATGACTGTGGAAGGAGGAAAAGAGGAGACACCATGGAAAAAAATAGGTCCTCAGTATTCATTTGGGAGTAGAAAAGAGAGCAGTTCAAGCGAATTATACAATGCGTTGCCAAGACTGAGATGAAAATGCATAGGTCTTGAGTATTTCCATTGGTCATGAGATAAAGGGATATTCAATGACAGGCACCCTATTTCCTTTACAGTGTCCTACATATTCCAACTAAAGCGTCCACATCTTTGGATTTTCTATCAGAATTCAGTGAATTCAATAAAATGGTTCAAATTACCCTTATTTAGAAAATATATTTATGGTTTCAAAGTTCTCATCTCAAATTCTTGTACCAGAAGGGAAAACACACTTGAACTACTCAGGCTGGTCAGGTATGCTGAAATTTTTCTTCAGGAAGTGCTATTGAAAATATGGTCACAACTGATTCTACTTGCCGGTCTACTTAGTGTTAAGTGCAACTGAAATGTTCTGGACTCTCCTGACTGGAATGCCTACTGATTACTTAAACAGTGTTGGTTGCTAGGAGACAATTACCCAATTGCTAGGCTTTCTGCAGTCTTGTCTCCCAGAGCTCTTGAAAACTGTCCACATATTTGTCCCAGAGCATTTTGGCAGCATCCTTCTGCACCTTCTGCTGAAAGCCAGTTAATTATGAGTCTTGTAAACTTAGGTCTTTCAACCACCTGCCTTTATAATAAATGCAGCCCACATGCTTGGACTTGAATAGCATCATTTGGAATAACTGCTGCTTTTCCTTCCTTTAATTTACTTCTCTACAATTCTCAAATCTTCATATTAGGCAATCACCATGGACCAGTATCAGCGATCAAAACTGAAGTGGGAAAGCAATGGAGCATATAGCCAGGTTAGAAGATTATTTGAATTACCAGGAAATTTGCTAAAATGCCTCAAGATTTCACGTCAAGGCTAGGGAGACACCTTCTCAGGACAGCAGACAGAGAGAGAAGTTGCGTGTTGCAGCCAATCAGGAATGAGTCTGGTTACAGTCCCTGCCACGTGAGGACTCTAAAGACAACTTTTGTCCTTTGAAAGATAAGTTGTTTTGCTTTCTATTGGCCAATGCCTCATCTTCATTGTGTTTTTACCTTTTCCCTTATTTGGTTGCACAACATTGCCCATGTTTCCGTTCCTACTTATGGTAGGGGTGGGCAGCTGAGGGCTCCTGTTTTAAGTGTTCATGTCACTATGGCAGGCAACCACCTCTATTTTTGTATTTTATTAAACTGGCATAAAAGGCATTGCAGAAAGCTTTCCCTTTCTTAAGGAAAAATATTCATTTAAATATTGGCTTTTTCCCCCCCATTTCGGATGCATCAAAGGCCATTTTGAAAAAACAAAATGAAACAAAAAACCCTTAGTTTTTGTTTCTCCCCCCAAGTCCATCTACTCTTTTGGTGCTCAGTATTTCTTTTCTGATACACTCTTTCTTGGGGACTTAGCCAAGGAAACCAGCTAGGAAGTCTGCTGCTTGTTTAAGGATGCTCCACCCATGATTAATCTGGGAACTAAGGGCCTCTCAGTAAAGCCCAAGGAAAGCCCCTGTAAGACGCCCAGCATTCGTGTGTTCCTGTTTAGGATGAACTCTGCTCTCACCATCATTCCTCTCCTTCAGGCATACTTAAGAATCTTTCTTCTCACACTGCAAGACTCAAGTTTTCTCTTCTCAAGTCTTTGATTATTTGGGATCCTACTCCACCTTTTCTTTTTTCTTCTGAAACTCTCCAGACGTGGCCACTTTGCTGTATTCTGTTCTGGTCTAACTTTAAGAGGCTCGACCACGATGCCCTCTTGAAAAGCAAGAGGTACCACACAGATGTGACTGGGGCTCAAACAGTGATGCTGACTAGTTGGCCTTGTCAATGTGGAGAGCCAGCAGGCACCACATCACATGGTTTTGCCACTATTACAAAAGCTTTGCTCACTTTTTAGTAGCTTCTCTGGGCGTATTTGTACCATAGCCATCTCCCCACTTGCTCTGGCTTTACAACCACACTTCTGTTCATGACATATAGTAAAAACTCCTAAGTTCCATCTACCGGCCAAATTAGAGTCATTAAAAAAACCTCCGTACTTCTAAAAATTCCATGCATTTCACAAAGCATTCTACTTCAAATGGTAACCATTTGATATGTATTTTTAAAAAATTCAGATAAACCAAAATAGTTTTAGATATAAACACCGTGGGTTGACAATTGAAGTTATTTAACTCTTCTACTAACATTTTCTCCTGGTGACCTGTTTTGACTAAATACAAGTGATAGCATACAAAACTCTATACCAACACAGACAAGGTCTTAAGACATACACCAGATATTGAACTCCCTAACAAGGAGCTTATATACCTTCAGCTGTTCACATACAACTGACAGGCACTTGGACACAGACGTGGACATGCACAACCAAGCTGCTCTGCAGAAACATATCAGGGTAGATCCAACAGCCAAGAACTCATATGTGCCTGTCATATCATGGCCATGGCTGATGGGCCAGGGATCATACATGGATAAGACATGATTTTTCTACTTTTTTGGTGTCTGGAGGGCATACGCTGTTACCTGCTGTCTTTGATAGGCAGAGAAGGTTCTTTCCAGGTCTTCAAGATCTAGAAGCTTGAAGACTTTTGTATCATCAATTTCGGTCCATACTGTTCCTTCCAGTTTGTTCTAGAAACATCAATGTAATAAGTGCTATGGTTTACAGTTATACATAAAAAGAACAGGCACGGTTATTCTTTAAAAAGTGCTTCTATCCCAAATTTTTCAGTCTACCAGACACTCAAAGTGAGCAGGGTTTCAAACAATGTGTCGTTTATTTCACAAGCTTTATCACTTAAATATCTGAGCTAGTGAGAACCCTGAGTCCACACTAGAAAATGAAATCATTTAACAGCCAAGGTTGTTTTCCCTTTCAGTGACAACACAATGAGCTGCTAATGCTATCCATTAGAGGGAAAATTGGAGCAAATGGCTTACCTCTGGCAGTTTAGACCAGTTGAAGGATTTCAGGGCATTTGTGGGCTGAGGAATGTTTTTCTTCTTGAGTGCCAAGCCCATTGGAGCACCAGGAGGTGGCATGATTCCCCCTAAGGGAGGAGGCCCTGGCGGAGGAGGAGGGCCACCTGGAGGGAGGGGAGGTGGTGGAGG